CTATACTATATATATATATATATATATATATATATATATATATATATATATATATATATATATATATATATGTAACCACTGTATAAGTGATTTGTAAATGACATTTTTAAAAAACACAAAAGAGTAATGAGAAAACGCTCTTCTGAAAAGAGTGTTAATGTAAATTACTAGAATTCCATGCGTTATAAAATGATAGATAAAAGTACAACAGAAAAAGATGTATAAACAAATGGTCTGTCGATGACTTCAGGAATTTCAAACCAATAAAGCTAGTTTATACAAGTTTGAAACTAACGAAACTGTGGCCTAAGATAAACGATTACATCATATAAATCAAGCAAGCGTAAAAAGAGAAAATTATCCGTAATTAAACAGTGAAAAATGGGATCAAAACAAATTTCAAGGGAATAACAGTGTAGAAACAAAATCAACCAGAAATCCATCATCCAAAAATTAGAAAAAATAAATGGCACATTCTCAATAATCATACTTTAACTTTCGTGGGACAGCAAAACTTTTCACTACTTCATCAGTCACCTGTTTTCGTCGCTGCTGTAATTCTGTCATAACTCGCTGCACTTCCTTAATGGCTATTGCTTTGAGTTCGCCGGTTAATAATTCACCATTTGTGTAACGCTAAAAAATTGTTTTAAATAAAATGTCTTTTTTACCTTTCAGTCCTGAAAAAAGGTTAGAATACTTGAAATTCTTGGGTCACGAATTTACCACTTTCCAGACGTTGAGAAGAGGAATTGGTTCTTAGAAAAGTGTATAATATCAATATGTTGGGGATATGTAGATTTGCGGTAAGACAAGGTGAAAAATAGATAAAAGTATTGCCTATAATCAGACAAGCCGAAGTTATCAGAGTATAAACTTGGAAGTATCAAAACTTCTAGTTATTAGTACAACATGCCCCATCACGATGACTCAAATGCATTTAGGATAGACTCTAAAAGAACCAAGTCAAACAATCTGACTGGTCGCTTATCCTCACTTTGAAATTATCAAGACACATCATCTTGTATTTTCTCTTTTATGTCACATAGCTATCAATTACTAATGTATAAAAACTGTTCATAAATGAAAGCTGGAAATAATAGATTTGGAAACTTACTTTACGTATGCTTTCCAATTCATCATCGTCTTCCATGAAATACCGCAAGAACTGATATGAAATATCAATATCACAGTTACCACCATATTTACGATGCTCCTCAATTGTATCACGCCCACCACTAAAAGCATATTTATTGATCTGAAAAGAAAATTTTTAGTAAAAGTTTCCCTAATCCCAGTTAACTTAAGAGAAGAAAAAAACTGTTGCATGGACTCATAATACACACTTTTTTTCATTTATTTTGTCCCCACCTTTTTTAAATAACAGTCCCTCTATCAAGTATTCGTCTACCGTACTGCAAAAGAAAATTGCCAGCTAATACAAGCGTGAAAAAAAGAAACACATATGAGAAGGTAGCAAAAAAGAGGAACCAAAGCAGAGTGGACAAAAAAATTCTCATTCAGCAGGAAATAAAAAGTGAAGTGAGATTACACATCCCAAACAATTTAATCATTCATACAGCAGTTATTGTCGCTAGAAGAAAACTCTAAGAATAACATTCCTCAGAATACTTCAAAAATCTCAAGAAAAAACCCTCCTCAAAAGTCGGACGAAATAATTGAAGACCTTAGTTTTTATCTGTTTAGGTGCATCATCCAAATAAATACATGTGGTGGCATCTGACGCAGCCATTTTGCTTTGCGCACCTTGTAAAGCTGGTAAGAACGAGCTGTATATCATCGCCGGTTTTAGATATTTCAGTCGCGGAGCAACATCACGACACATCCGAAAGTAAGGATCCTGAAAGATATATATCGGACGATCAGGACTTGAAAATACAATGAAATCAATACAGAAACATATACTTTTGCCAGAAGTAAACAAACCTGATCAATGGCACATGGAATGATACATGGAATATCTTCTCGTTTTCCAAATATTAGTGGAAAACTACTACTGAAGCACGGAGCTGCCTCAACTGAAGGAAAGGCTGCTTTACCCATTGAATCTTCACCAGTGAATCCAAAAATTGAACGCGCTTGATTAAGTGTTACAAGCTTCCATATCTTCAAGATATTCGTGAAAAAGGACGGGCTGCAATTAGTTTCGATTAATCTTAATTGAACAAATAACGAATGTTATGGATTTTCATCATACGAAAAACTTCCATGAGGGTAAGGGGTTACTGCGGTCCTTATAAAAATCGGTTCTTAAGAGTAAATACAACTGCACTTACCACATATACTCAGTATCTAAAAAGATGAAAGTTTTATCGGGACTAAAACCACAAGCAATAATATCTTTAATATTTTCGTTTGCCATACGTTTGATTTCATCCAGTGTGTGGTTCTTCCAAAGGAATTTTTCATCATCTGTTATCTAAAAATTTGATGCAGAACAACATGTACATTCGTGACATTTTCAATCATCATGTGATGTAAAATGACAGAGTATATGATAATTATGTACTCCAATATTTTGTGCAAAAGTTTTAGGATATTCTGGAATATTTTTTCATATCCATAAGCATAAAGAAGGATCTTTGGCATAAGCATCTTGGACAGCTAAGCAACCACAATAAAAAGTAAATGACATAAAAAACATGTGTACCGTCCAATAATTTCAATACATAATTATTAACCAACCTGAATGATGAGAGGTACATCGAACACATCCTGCAACCATTTTGTAAAAACGAATGGGATAAGGTGTCCAAGATGCAGGCTACCACTACTCGGACCTCGGCCAGTATATAAATAAAATGGCTTTTTCTGTTCCAAACGATCCAAAATTAGTGATAAATCACTAAAAAACTTTTTTATTAAATTTAGAGCAATAGAGCACAAATGATTTTATTGCTTAATTCCTGTGAATAAAAACAGATAAACCATTCCGAACTCTTCTCCACAATGAAAATGTATACCATTCCGAACAACTCTTCTCACAATGAATGAAAATGTATACCACTTATTCCAGTTTCTTTATCTTAATTGCTTTCTTACTGAATTTTCGAGATGCTCGACAATCGAATTCCAAAATATGAGGTTTCATAATAGAAATTAAGAAACCAATCAAATTCGGATAATCAAAATAATTGCTCTCAATTTTCGTACTAAGTATATGTTATGAGATACTTTGTGATCACCTACCGATGGGCAAAAAACAGCCCACGTCGCAGCATTGGATGTGCCTTTTGACCAGTAATTCGTTCGAATCGATTGATCAAATCTTCTGTTATTCTATAACATCCGAATTTTGCTGAAAATTAAATATATGACCAAAGATCAATTTTCATCAATACTTCAAAATGTTGTTCACATGTGCAGTCTACACTATTCATATAAATAACTGATACTTCAAAAAACTGTACTTCAAATATGATGTCTAACACTGACAAG